GCTACTAGGGGCTCCTGGCATCGCTACTAGTAACAAGAAGCTACTAGTAAGAAAGAGAGAGAGAGAGATCTCCTGGAGGTCCAAGTGTAGATCCATCCAAAGATACCTCCGAGTTGTGCCTGGGGTCCCACAACACAAATGCTTTGTCACAAGGTTTTCTATGTTCTCCGTATTCCTGCTTGTTTATATGGGTGTGTATCAAAATAGGAAGACCTCCCAAATACCTCCGGGAAAAAGCAACAAAATGCCAAAGCCTATAGGTTGGGAGACTCCATATTAAATTACACAACCAAATGGGTCCTGCCGAAAGGCCTTTCAATCTTCTTGGCAAATGGCTCAGATGCCCAAAGTAGCCCAACTTTCACCAGACTGCTATACCGACCATACCCATGTGTACAGGTCAAACTACTTTAACAAAAACTAAACCTCTTTTACATCTTTTACATAGCCCTTTGTCAGGTGGTCTTGCAATCTCAGGATCATCACCCAATTGGCCTCAACAGCATCCCCCGCATCACCAACACAGAGTGTTGCTGCAAACGTCCCACTTGTGTGAAAGCACGTCTGACCAAGGCAGATTGTCAAGAGCAGCGATTTTAAAAACCCTCACAAAAAGCGAACCTACGAACATAGAGACTGACAGCCCGCCGCCCTCATAGAGCATAAATTACACTAGCATAGACCCCAAACGGCCTGCAGCAACACCAACACGCAGCATCTGGCAGCAGCAGCCTGCAGCGGCACCCTGCCGCGACACCAGCACCCAGGCTCCAAAGTACACACAGGCACCTCTTCCTGTACTTGAAGGTAAGAACCCCAATAGCTCTCGCTCTCTGGCGAAAAAAACCAGCTTCTGTCCTCCACCAGGAGTGAGCCAGTTGTGGAACAGCAACTCACAGATTGCTGCACAGCCCATTCGGAGCCCGTCTGTGCCCTTGTTGGTCTGGCTCCGAATGAAGACGGATCCGGATCGCCTTCCTCCGATGGGTGTGGCACCCTGAGTCTCCCGGGCATGATGAAGGAAAACGTGCGATGTGGCCTGAGAGGGCAAGGACGGCAGGGACGGCAGGCGGAGTTTTCACAAGGAACAGGCATGAGAGGGCAAGAAGCAGGATCTTGTCTGGAGAGTTCACAGGTGCCAAGTCCATGCTGAGGTTGCAGTGCATGCATGCAAAACAAGACGTGATTGTCTTCAGAACATCTCTCTGGAGGAGCTACTCGAACAGAAAAGGACTATATACTGGACTACCATGTGGAACAGGACACCTGCAAGAAACCTGATGGGGGCCAACTCCTTTAGATCTTTGGGGACAACATGGGACAACAGATTTTGTCCGGCACTCATTTAGTGCTTGAAACCAACTCAGCCGAAGAAGAAGATCAAAGAAGCACTACAGCCACAAGCTCCAACAAGTTGAATCCATTGAGGCTGAGTCTCAAACCCTCAAAGAAACCAGACTAAATCTCTGGTGATGTTGTTCTGATCAAACAGGTTATTGTATCTCTGGTGGTCTTCCCCCCCATGCATTTCGGCTCTTCCGACCCGTGCTCCCGGACGTCTGGAGGACCAAGGATTTGCTCTCAAGGCCACCGTGCCTGGGGCGCTTCAACCGGTGGATCTGTTCGAGCAGCGACAGCGTTCGTGCGTTGGTGCCCTGCCGCAGCGTTGGTGCAAAAAATCCTGGGCCTCTTTGGGCACTTCTTTGGGCTGCAATCGCCTAGTGCTAATCGCCGAACGCCTGCCTTTTTGGTCCACTCGCCCTCTCTATTCAGTGCATTTCATCTTTCAGCATCTCATCCATTGCATTGCGCCATTCCCTCCGCCCTCGAAGATGGAGCGAGCTTCCCCAGCAGCAGTGTGCTCTGCCGCAGCGCCTGCTGCACGGCCACGTTGGTGAGATCCCTCATGGGCTCGGCAAGAGCCAGCCTCGACTGGAGGAGTTGAAGATATCTGGCTCAATATATGTTAGTATACCTTATAGTGCAGGAAGTCATGTTCATCCTGAGATTCACATCTAGATCCATGATGATCCATGTCTTTTCGATTAAATCTGAAAATTATTCGACCCCGTGGGCAACTTCTTCAGACCGGCCTCTGTCCGACCTTCAGCTTCACTGCCTTCGCATGCTTGGCCAAGATGGTCCTCACCATCTTCAGCTCCTCCTCCTGGGAGCCATCCATGCTCACCACTCGCACCCGCATCTCCCTTCCCAGCGCCAGCAACGCCGCATCCACCGGGTCGTGGTCGAAGGAAGCGCCACCCACAGGAGCTTCCACGTGGAAGCTGAGCCGCGCGGTCTTCGACAGCAGGCGCACCAGGCGTCGAGGACCACTGCGGAAGATCGTGAGACGCGCGGTACCTGGCAGCTCGCGAAGCTGTGAAGGATGGAGCTCGTGCGAAAAAGACAAGATCTGACAAGAAGGGTTTCGCAACCAGGTGACAACTGTACAACTTGAGGGGAGTGGTCGAGACGACCGGCGTTGATTGGTCATAGGAGGTCATAGGATCTGGTATTCTCTCAAAGATTCCCAGTCGTACATTTGTACACGGGGGTTATTCCACATGCACCACCAATCCAACCACCACTCTCTACTTCAGGGTGGATCCCAAAACTCCAATCGGCACTGATCCGATGCGCCAGCGCAACGGCGTGAAGGCCCAGCATTGCCCGCCCGGCCGCCCTGCCTTCGACGATCTCCTTTTCAGGCTGCCAGCCCATCTCTGGGTGAAGGGCCTCGGACGGCGAATCCATCAGACATTCTGGATCCAGCCGTACCAAACCCGACTGGAGCCCGGTACAACCGGACCCGACCATGGCACCGGACCAGTCTCCAGTGTCTCCAAGTCTCCAAATCACCGTACCGAATGTACGACTGGATCTCTATAGGGCATGGTCGGACATGGTGCGTGTTGTGGTAGATACATGTGCCAAGTTTTGTCATGCGGAAGATCATGAAAGATCCAAGTATGCTTGGGGCATGCTTGGGGCAGATAGGGGGCAGATCCTCACTCTCAACTTCTCTGAAGCACTGCAGGTTTCTAGAAAGAACACAACTAGTTGTCTGTGAATCTGTCTGAGAGCCGCTGAGTTCTAGACCATATCTCCCGGAGGGAGTCGTTCATCTCCACTCGCAGCGGAATTGGCATTGTGGTGCAACCATCCAAGAGCTTCATCGATCAAAGCGAACACCTTCGTGACTGGACCAGGAGCTTCAGACCTTCCAGAAATGACCGTAGGTCCTTTGAAGTCACTGGAAATCATCTCAGGCACTTCACTCACTTCGTGCTGGGCGTTGCACGGCCCACGTCTCCAGAAACGGCCCTTTAAGGAGGACTCCATAAGCAACCATTTGGAACCATTCGACCAACTCACTTGCAGAAGTGCTTCTGGTCGACGGCTGTGAAGCCAAATGATGGAGCTGGGTGTCCAAACCAACGAAACTGGACCTTCAGGGGGTCGCATCGCTACTAGTAGCAAGAAGCTACGAACGGGGCTCCTGGCATCGCTACGAACGGAGCGATCGGACGCTACGAACGGAACAAGACTTTAACAGGAGTCAGAGTGGAAGTTCTCAGTTCTCCCCGCAGTCGTTTTTGGCGAAAAAAGAGGATTCACTGCACTTAGCAAAAGCTCCTCTGTATTACAGCAACTTATCCAAGATCGAAGAATTCCTTCAGATGATTTTCATACCTGTCATACCCCTTCATCTTCCACCTTCACTGAGTTCCCCCATCGCCACGGCCGGCGACACCGCATCCGCCGCCGTCATCGCGGACGCCGCCGCCGCCGCCGTCGGCCGCGGCGCGGTGACGCCGCGCCCGCTGTCGACGAGGTCGCCGGCGGCCAAGGCGGTCTGCAGGTCGTCTGCCAGCGCCAGCAGCACGGAAGAAGAAGACCTGGTTTCAAAACTGGTTTGAGAGCAGTGGAGTGGAAGGTCAGATGGTGGAAGGAAAAAGCATTGGACAACCGGGTGTGTGAAGGTTGTGAAAAATATGAAAAGCAACATGTTGACGTCTTGTCAGGAATTCAGGGCTCGTGAGAGAAACTGCGCTAACGTGTCGACAGCTTTGCACGGAACAATTTGCAAGTTGTTTTCTCTTGACCCCGCCGCTTTTGCTTTGTGCAAGATAGCATGCAAATGCAGCCTTTCTTCCGTGCCGCATGTTGGCACCAAGAATGTCTCGAACGAAGATGATATGGTCTATCAGTCTATCCGTCCAGTTGAGCTCCCTGTGACCATTCACAGGCTCAGCCGGCTGCGGCCCTCTTGTTTATAGTATGTGTTGCTGCGTGTGAAATCGCTTATGCATCGGACTGTCCAGAATAAAGGTGAATTATGAAAAAAGTGGATGATTTTCCCAGCTCTCTACATTACCCGACTATGTTTGGCAAACCCCCCAAAAAAGGTTTCATTGGGCATGGTATATCAAAAACTATGGGAATCACTTGACGACCCTCTACAATAACACTTCAAGTCCACCTGACAAAAGAACATCGACTTCGCCTTCGCCCTTCTTTGGCCAAGCTGCGACTGGGCCAGTTCTCGTGCATTTGCACAGTGCTTCGTGAGCACCAAGAAGGCAGGATATAGCCAAGCCAACTGCACAGGCTCTTCGATGGAGAAACACTGTACTTGACCTCACGTACAACTTGTGCAAACCACCCGGCACGCGCACCCGGCATGCCCTCGCAAACGCGACACCAAATTGCTTTGATGTCTTTGTTTGTCCTGGAGTAATTAGGTAGATGGAACCGTGCGTTTTGGTGCACAAGAACAATAAGCTCAAAAGAGAACACATGAGAACTTCTTAGTTGCAGAGCCAGCGACGCACATGCTCACACAGAACCCCATGAGCATTCTCCCCAAATTCACTGCAAGGAGTCACCTTAGTCATGCACGGCTCATGGTGCTGGGCTGGGGCGGCCGCGGGCTACCGTTTTGAAGGGACAAACATCCTAGAACCATCTCAACAATCGAGAGGGATGATTTAAAAACACGGCTCCTTATGTTGATGCAAACAAGCAAATCTGGGGAATCCAGTATGAAACGGACTGTTGATGAACCGTGCACCCGCTGTTAGAAACGTTGACATGGTCTGTGTGATAAGGACCTGTGTGCCGAGTGACTGTCACATTCACAGGTTCTTCTGGAATGTGCTTCCCCAAGTTTGGCTGCCACCATTCCACCACATAACTTCGACCATGTGGAGCCAGTGAGAGCTGAGCCGAAGCATCCAAGGAAGTAATTCCTGAGAGGCCAACATGTGTATCGACCTTGAAACCACTCCGAGGAAGGGCGACGGAGGGTCAGAAACTTGCAACCCCTCGCCATGTTCAAGTAGCTCCGCACAACCCCCTGAACTTTGAAGGCACATCTGTGAAGAAAACGAACACTCCTCTGAAGAACAGGATTTGATTCGGCTGCCCTGGCTGTTGTCTCATCGACTGCATGTCTCATCTTGCTTCGACAGTCGTCTAGCTCCAAGAGATGACTAAAGAATGCAAGAAGTTACAAGTACTAGGTGGAGGCCATCGCTACTAGGAGCAAGGATGCTGCTACTAGTAGCTCCTGGCAATACTACTATTAGACTACGGCGAATACTAAAAAACTACCTGGCCACAGGTACTAGTAGCTTCTTGCTACTAGTAGCAATGGCCTCCAACCTATTTGCGATGGCCTCCACTTAATAGCGTCCTTGTTACTATAGATGTTACTAGTAATCAATTGGCCTAAAAATGTATACAACAGCCAGGCCAAACGGAAAGCGTCCTAAAGCACTTCCAGGAGTCTGAAACTACCATCCTCGTCTTGAAGGATATCAGAACCTCAGTTCAAAAATATTCTGCGTCAAATCTGTCAACGCGAATCTGTCAACGCGTGGTTCTACAAGAGTCTCCCGCCCCTCAAACAAACACACAAACTCTGCTATGAAAGCATAACACACGTGGAACCCTTGCTGGCCACGTGTTCCATATAATGTTTCAGTCTGTTTAACAGTCCTATCGAGGTCACCTTAATAGAGGAGAACAGTGGTGAGCTCAATATATCCCGGAGGTGCAAGCTTGTTTCTGCAAGCCTTGGTAGATGTCGGTCGTCTGTACCAGGATGAACATGAAGAAGTTCCCATCTCGGGAGAAATTCCGGGGTCTTCTTGGAAGCGTTTTTGCATTGTTTGATGAAGACCTGTGAAGACTTGGGCTGTGAGGTTCCACGGTGTCCAACATGTTCCAAAATGTTCGGTTCGCGGCTGGCCCTGCCAGCCTGTAGTCCTACAAAAATATAGATCGGCATCTTCTGATCCTAGTAACAAGAAGCTACTAGGGGCTCCTGGCATCGCTACGAACGGAGCAAGGACGCTCCGAACGGGGCTCCTGGCCGTACTACGAACGGAGCAAGTAGCTACTAGTAATTAACAGAGACATCCAAGTTGCTCGCATCAGGCCAGACCATGTGGGTGCAGCTCCTGGTCTGGAAGGATGATCGGGAATCCGTATTTGTTGCTAGTAGCTTCTTGTTCGTAGTAGTAATGCCCTTGTTCCGAGTAGCGATGCCCTTGTTACTAGTAGCTACTTGCTCCTAGTAATACGGCCAGGAGCCCCTAGGAGCGTCCTTGCTCCTAGTAGCGATGCCCTTTGCTCCTAGGAGCGTCCTTTGCTACTAGGATCCGTCCTATCAATCAGTGTTTTTTTTGCGTCATCAGATTGTTTTTTTTCTATCTAGATGTTGCATCTAGATGTTGTTAGATGTCACTTGGACCTAGGAGAACGGCCAAAAAGAAGAGCATTAAACCAGTCAGACTCATTCGACGTGTCAATTCAGAATCGCCAGAGAACTATGGATGTCGCTTTGATCCGTGGAACTTCCCTTTCCCAAACACCCTGGTGTTCATCGTAAGCGCTTGTCACTTGATCTCTCAACTTCAGGATCTTCTCACTTCCAAATCAAAACACGACATGTCTTCTTAGGAACAAGACGCTACAAGGGGCTCCTGGCCTTACTACTAGGAGCAAGGACGCTACTAGGATTCAAGGAAATTCACTCCGCACCTCCCGCCCGCGCTCCTCCTCTGCTCCACGGACCCCACGGAGCGCAGATCCGCGCCCGGAGCGCGCAGATCCGCGCAGATCCGCGCCGCGCCGCGCACGGCGAAGCGCCGCTGGAGCGCGGCGGCGGCGTGCACTTTGGCGCGGATCTGTGCGGTTTGAGGAAGGCCTTAAGAGGACCACCTACGGTCGAAAGGAAGGCCAAGGCGACCCAGCGCTTTGAGGAAAGAGTGGGGGGGTTGGTCAGTGGACAAAAGAATGTGAATGATGTGAGGTATAAGATGATATAAATGATATATTATGAGGACTCTCGCATGAGGGTTTGAAGGGAATGAGATGAAATGATGGACATCTCCTGTTGAAGATCGATGCGTTGACTTGTTGGGGTCAACGGCTAGACTCTACAGGCAGTTCCACAAGCCTATATATAAGCCTGTGAAAGTCATCTTTACTGTAGAAAGGATTCTGATGCATGACAGCACTAGAGTCCTCAAGATTCTTCAAGGCATGATTGCGTCATATGTCGTCGGACTTTCAAGTGGAGCTGCCCATGACCAAAACGCCCACAGCAGCCGTTGCCAGGTGGCACGTGGACAGCAGCCGTTGCCGCTGTCCGTTCTTCTCAAAGAAGCTCACGGAGGCCACCGCGGAGGCGGTGGAAGGATGCAAAACGACGCCCGAACCGTCACCTGAGTGCGTCCACCGGGTGAGAACCCGAGAGTCATTCCGAATGCAATGAACTTATTCAGAGCTTTCAAAGTTTTAAAATGCATATATATGTTTTAAAGGAAAAATGCATGAACTACTAGTACGAGAGTCAAAGCTTTCTTTCTTTTTCCTTAATTGCCAGTAGCTTCTTGCTACTAGTAATGGCCTCCAACCTACTTGCGATGGCCTCCACCCTAGTCGCGGCAAAACAGGTGGATCCCTCGCCCGGGCGGGTGATTTCTGGAGTCGGGAGGGTGGGGGTTCACCCTCCCCCGATCGGGTCATTGTGATGTCCTGCGCCTATTTGAGAGCAGTCCGATCCAAAACACCTCGTCCCCGATCCGCCTTGTCCGATCCGTAATGTGTACCTGCCCCTCCTGTCATGTACATACTTCAAGCCCTGGATGTATATCAGAAACATGTTGCGACTCATGAGGAACAATCTTCATGGCTTGTTGCCAGTTTACCATATCACCATGCTCCTTCCTGTCTGCATGGCACGACCTCCATTTAAGGCTTTGCACATCTGCTTAGTATTGGGGTACAAGGGTATTTGTGGGCAAGTTCTCTAAACGCAAAGGGGATTGTAGAGTGGGGTGTAGCCCGAGTCAGAAGAACTTGCTCCCCTATCAAACACAAGTGCTGCTCGTTCCGTGAGATCCCTTCACTCAACTATATCTCATGTTCATCCATGTTCATCCATATTCATCCATTCTCCATCCCTCATTCTTGAAAACCATGGACTGCAGTATAGCAGTACAGTATAGTAATCCTGTTGGCAAACAGAAACGGGATAGTGAACTTCTGCAATCTTCATAGACATATATATATATATTCATACCACGTTTCAGTCATCTTCCCATCAGGTAATTAGGCGATCCTGTTTGAAACCTTTGAGGGCAACCACTGGCCAATACTAGCAGTCATGATTTCTCCTTAAGCCTTAAGACATATGAACTAGTGCAAACGCGAGTTCAAACCTTCATCAATACATCATCTACTATACCTAGATCTTCCAACTGTGCAAACTGTCTGCCTTTTCATCTATAAAACCAGCCAAAAAGGCGGAAATGGTGCATTCTGTAGTTGGAAAAGGGCGGAACATTTGCATAGTTGGAAGATCTACTCCCCCTCCAACAATCATGGAAGTGGACAATGGCCCCTTGGAAGACTATGTTCCTCTACCAGGAGGGGGGTTGTCGACTTCCATGATTGTGGGGGGAGGGTGGGTTATATTGTTTGCATCTGTTGACCACACCGCCATCAACGAGCCACTGAAGGCCGCTTCCGTCCGCCCGCTTCGGTAGATCGCCGCACGCGACAGGCTCCATGGCATCGCTGCCCCGAAGTCTTCAATGACCAATGTTGACACCCAAATAGTTGGTTTAGCATGTTTAGCCTAAAAGTTTGGTGTATCTCAAACTGACGGGACTTCATCTCCAAGAAGTTTGCGTGCGATTCTTACTTCACTGCTACGGAGATGCGAAGATGTTCAGAGAATCGGATGTATGAGAAAACCTGCATCTGCCTGGCTCCACTTTCCAGACAACTGCTTCTCATCTTCGGTGTTTGCGTTGCAAGAACACTGGTCCGATGACGCGTTCAATGGTGAGAAACACCATGAAACACCTGTGCTCTCGGCTTCACATCGGAGATCTGAAGGTGTTCCTCCACCAGCTTTCCATACTTGAGACTCCCAAACGCTGCACCATGCCGAATAGATCTGCTCCAGCCCCGAATCAACCTATATAAGGTGGCATGCTGTCCTATCGCCTGCTCGAACATACAGCCAAAGGTGGCATGGGTCTTCAACGGTCCCAACGGTCCCCCAAGTCTCAGCAAAAAGCCGCCCTGCCCTCTGAGCCACTGGGCGGGTCCATGTGCAATTTCGTCACGAACCTGGAGGAGTTGTTGCGCTTCGTAAACACGAAAGACGCGAACCTGGAGGATTTGTCCGCAACACGACATGAAATGGTGGTTCCACAAAAGGACTCACCTGCAGTCAAAAAAAGGATGTGCTTCATACGATGCATGGGTCGCTGCCAAGGGTGGATGAAATGTTTCCACAATCCGACGCTGAAGACTCGATCGATTTAGGGAGAGGTCCAGTGGTTTTGAAACTGGTGGCCTGCAACCTAGAAGCAATGGCCTCCAACCTTAGAGCGATGGCCTCCAACCTGCTAGAGCTTTTAGGTGGCGCAACGAAATCATTGCAAAATCGATAAGTAAAGAATCTAAATTTGACCACCTCTCTCAAGAGCTGAAGTAGACCTCTTTGAGGACTAGGAACCATCAAAAACAACACAATACACTTTGATTGTGCTGAGCCCGAATAAAATATGTTTGAAAAGGAGCTGCAAGTACCTTGGATGACGTGCGTAATTAACTTGGAGAGGAGTCCCTTCATACGACTTTACACATATCAGCTGATGAGCTGATGGTACATTTCCAGAACAATAATGCAGGGGACAATGGTCACATGTCGATTGCCCCATCCTCCGCATGTCAATCGCTTAAAGAAAGCCCTGTAGTCAGCTTCATATCGCATGTGGTGGACATCTGCATGGATTGATGTGGGACTTGTAATCAGAGTTGGCAACTCACGCATATAAACGCATCCCAAACTCAGTTTCTTCTCATGGACACCTCCCAAAGCATCCCAAAAACCACCTACCTCCACAGTCAGGCCCGGGGAGGGCTGGGAGACCAGGCTGCTGGAAGTCGGGACTACTCAATCCTTGCCGGATATCCACCAAGTCATCCATCATGACACCTGCCCGGTGCAGCTTCGGTTGAGCCTTTAGTACTAGTGGCCTCCAACCTAAGAGCGATGGCCTCCAACCTAAGAGGGATGGCCTCCAACCTAAGAGGGATGGCCTCCAACCTACAGCTTTGGAAGGAGCAACAGGCTTGGTTAATTTATCAAGCGCATTTGGGGACACATTTCGTAGCTAGCAACCCTTCTTTCCCAAAGCATTTAAAGAGGGGTTGTTTACAGGGCCTAGCCTAGTGAAGAGGTCACAAAGCGGGCTTACTTAAAAAGAAGACATAGAACCATTCCGAGAATGGCAGAAGGGAACAAGAAAGCCTCAACAGCTGGAAAAATTCGCCCACACCGAAACCCTGCCAGGTCTTCCTCTCCGAAGCTGCCAGGTCTTCGTCCCGGTTCCGCCGAAGCAAACGCAGCCGCCGCAACGAAGACCCTGTTCTTTTCGTCTCTCGAGCGATGAGTGTGCTGACGAATTCAGGGAAGGGAAGGAAACCTCTGTATACAAACCTTCTTTCCAAAAATGGTCTGTAGAAGCACAGTGAGCAGTGACCAAAGCCCGGAAAAGCTCAATCTTGGCCTTCATGCCCTGATGTGATTCTGAATGGAGACCTTTCACACCGGGCCCGGCCGCTACTCAGCTGCTCGCATTCATGGCATTCGCATGCAGGTGAAGCCCGCCAAAGCTTTGCTGGCCTTGGATTTGCTGATCAAAAGAGCAAGCAAGCGTCACTCCGGCTGGCGGAACCTTACAGTGCCTGTACACCCCCACATGTGGAGACCCCCCTTGCGGTTTGTCGTCCTTGCCGAATGTTCCCTCTGCAAAGAGTGAACTGTCCAACACATTCGTCGGTTCTCGTCGGTTTCACCTTCAGTTTGCGACACCTTCTCAGGCCCTAATCATCAGATTGATCCACCACAAGGGATCCTGTTCGAAAGCACACGGCGGATCGTTTTGAGGCATAATGCATCACTTTGTTGCCATCTGTTCCGGTTTTCAACCTGGTTAAAAACCTTGTGTCTGGACGGGACGGAACGTGTCAACGCCCAATGGCTCCAATGCCACCCGCACGAAGCCACACTTCACAGCGACCAGCCGAGAACTCGATGCCTTTGCACCTGACGCATGTGACGTCGTCGAACGTCGAACGTCGAACGTCGGGGCGAAGCGTCCGATCGCAACCCCTTCGGTTCGTAGTGCCAGGGGTCGCCCCGAAGGTTCGTGGCGTCCGGTTCCGATTTGGCCAGATTTGGAGGACAGAAAGAAAAGAGGGCAGGGAAGCTCTTCTGACTCCGGTGTCCACCTGTGATTTGACTCAAGTGTCTCGGAACCAAAACGTTCCAAAACGTTCAAGCTCAACAGCCCATGGCACCCATCTTCTGTGGCACAAAGTGCTCGGCAGGCGTCCAATGAAGTCCTCAGTGCTCGGCAGGCCGCAGGAGAACGATCGCCGTTCATCCCAAATGGTTTGGTTCTTCTCCGAGCTCCATTGGGTTTGCTGCTTGGAGAACGGACCATCATGGAACCGTGGTAGACCAACAGCCAACGACTTCATGAATCATATTTAGCTGAAAGAAAAAGAACTACACAGCCTACTCGTGTCTCTATGTAAAATGCTACATGTTCACTACAAAGTGAATGGCTCCGCATGGAGCTGGGCTGTCGGATTGTACCGTTTCAGTCACCGTTGAGTCCAACTCAGCTCTGTGGTGACGTGTGGACGCGGACGTCACACACCTCAGGCTGCGTCGACGTCTTCTCAAAGACATCTGCCTAGGATCGGACCACTGTACTTCCTGTAGTAGGAGGGCGAATTGTCGGTTTCATTGGCCCCACGACACGCGCGGTCCGCGCCGCCATCCACCGCTTGCAAAGAGGGCAAATTGTATCGGTAGCAGGAGAAACCCGAAAGCTCCTGGAATCACAGTCACGACAAATGAAACTCTTTCCCGTTAGAATCCTGCAGGGGATCACAGTGGAATGCCGGCGGATTAGTTTCCACCCAAAAGGCCCAAAAGAACATATCTATATATTTTTAGTTCGGGGTGGAAACTAATCCGCCGGAACTCCATTGGGAAAGAGAAGTAATGTCAATGACATTCTCGAGTCAAGTTGTCACAAGGAGTTTGGAAGCTCCTTCCCCTCGTCTCCGAACACTCCCAACACTGGACACTTTGAGAGCTGTATCTAGTGGAAACATGTTTCTGATAGCTAACATCCATGTTACATGGTCCATGTTACTAGTCAAGTCGTTTCTTTTCGCTCCTTGGTTGCTCCAATGGGAGTCGTCCAAATCTCGCAACGGCCTTGCGAGTACTCCACGCCAGTGCATCCTGAACGAGGCGTGTTCGATCCGGAACGATTCTGCGGATCAACGAGCTGAAAAGTAGCGATGCACTTGTTACTACTAGTAAGGCACCTGTTACTACTAGCGATGCACTTGTTACTATCTCATAAAAAAACATAACAGCCAATCGAACTGATTTTTTTCTTTCAGGAATAGCAACATCTTGGAGGAAGCCTCAGAACAACCATTCCAGGAACCTGCTGGAGCGAAGCTGTTCGAGAATACTGCCAAATTTGGGGCACAATCTCAGGACCTCTATAAACCATGGCAGTGTCTTGTTCACCTCAAATGTTCGCATATGATAGATAGGCCACAGTACCAACCAGTTGCTTCTGGTTGGGACTGGGTTTCCAGGTGGGAAAAGAAAAAATAGAGCGCTTCCGAGCACACGTCCAGCATCCGGAGAACTTGGAGCACTCTTGTTGGCAGCCATCGAGGGACTCAACGTCCCCCTGAACCTGAGATGCAGTGCTCGGAAAAAAAGCTTTCTGAAGGGCTTTTCCTGAGGGTAGGTCAACCAACCAACTTGTTTCTGGTTGGGACCGGTTTCAGCGCCTTCTCCAAACACGTCGTAAACACGTAAACACGTGGTTTTCCCAAAAACTCAGAACCCGTAGTCGTTAAACTACGGGTTTGACGGGTTTCCAGATCCATAGGTTCGCACTTTCGGCTGGCAAAAAAGATCTTTCACAGACTCTCACTCTCCAGGTCCCTCCATATCCATCACTCCGGGTTGGCTATTTTGACCCACATCAGCAAGTTCCAACGAACCAAACACACACAGAACAGAAAACAACATGTGGACAAAGAAAAACACGGTTATTTTTTTTGTAAGCACAATCACTGCGACCGTCCAGCACCCGGTTTTAGCATGAACAAACGTCCAAGGTCCATGTTCTCCGCTCCAAAGCACCCGGTAGAAGCTCTCAGAGTTGTGTCCCGCATAGTTCCGACAGGCTCGGTTCAGCCCTCCGTCGGCCGCGCGGAAGAGGGACCTGCTCGTGGACGTTGACGTGGCACCTGCAGCCGGACCGGTCTTCGGCATGGTGACGGTCCGGCATGGTGACCGTTCGGTCGAAGAAATGGTCGCGAAGTCGAAGAACATGCGCCATGCAGGGCCCATCAGGGCCCCATATTCACATCCATTGACCAAATCGTTTACTCAAAAGGTAGGGCCCAAAATCAGCTCGTTATAAGAACTTCGGACAAAAGACGGGTCGTCTCAGTGATGGTGGACGTCATCGTCGTCGACTCTGTAGTTGTTACAGATGTCCTTGACTGACTGAAGATTGGTCCTCAGCTGCGCAGTGAGGGGAATGATTAGCACTTCTTTGAATGGGAATCAAAGGTTCATGTGGTGAAGGTAGCTCCCTGCAATGGCCTCCAACCTAATAGCGATGGCCTCCTACCTACTAGCGATGGCCTCCTACCTAATAGCAATGGTCTCCAACCTAATAGCGATGGCCTCCAACCTAATTAATAGCGATGGCCTACTCGATGGCCTCCAACCTACCAGCTCCAAAGCAGGCCAGAGTCGATACTCTTCTGGGCCACAGTGCATGTAGCTTTTGGAGATATTGAAGGCACCAGACTTGTCCTTCCTGGATCTTCTCGCCCAACGAGTCGACTGAATCGACCAACGATGTTCCAACCATCAGTCACTTCAACGCGGCAAATAGCAGATTGCTACTTCAAACATTATCCCGTTTCCAGAGATCTTCTTTACAACTCCCCAGATTCCATCTGTTTCCAGCGCCGCACTCCGACCCCATCTTGGACTCATCCTTGAATCGCCAGTAATCATTGTTTAGCCACATTTGTAGGAGTGATGGTGCAATAAGCAAAACCGTACCTTAACCCACACCTGTCCCGCTCCAGCATAAACACCAGCCGAACCGGTCCTGTCTCCGAAGATCAACACGGCATAACCACCTGGACCGATCGCGGCTCCCATGGCTGGCCACGGATTGAATCTCGCCCAAATGCCTCAGAACCGGAGACTGCGATGCGTTCACCAGACATCCAAATGACATTGAGGAGCATGCCTCCATCTGTCTCACGAAGAAAACCATAGGGTACATCCAAGTCACGTGTTCGGAAAGGAAAATAAGTATAAACGGACCCATGCAAACGACTTGAGTGTTGCAGAACTTCTCTTCTCAACACTGGTGCTGTTTGATGGATGTTTGATGTGTTGTATCCAATTTGTTCATGTTCTTGTGTCTAGCACCAATCCAAAGTAGCATGGAGGCAGGCCTTCAAATCTTCAAATCTTCAAAGCTGCAATCGGATCCCTGGAATTTCTGGAAATAGCTTGGATGGATCCCTGGAGGATCCTGGAGACAGGCCCAAAGGAGCGACCTGCAACCCAATAGGCCTCCAACCTACTAGCCATGGCCTCCAACCAAACCGCGGTGCCCTTGTGTTGTTCTTTCTTCGATTCTTGTAACCGGGGCACCGCTATTGAGCATGACTGCATGATGGGGAGCGCTCCCCTTCCAAGCCAGAAAGGCAGATTCCGGAGATAAGGGGCCACTATAAGCGTTCTCGTAAATGTGGCCAGCCTCAGAGTAAGTCAGTGCCTTGCAAAGACTAAAAGCTTTTGTAGGTAACCTTGAACTTTCAGCTCTGACTCATACGTTTCAACAGGGGCGTCTTCTATAACTAACTTATCCTGTGAGTCAGGAACTGAAGGACCTGAGAGATGGCACCTAGGTGAATTTCCCACGGATTGAGGATTCATCTTTTCAGGCCAAGATCTAGAACTAGCTAGGGCCTCCCTTAAACATCGGCCACCGGTTTGACAGGTTCACACTTCCAGCTTTTCAGCAAATGCTTGAGGGATGCTAGAAAAACCTTTTGGGCTTGTCTCAGAAACTAGGGGAAACCTGCAGAATGATAGAAGGAACATGGAGCGAATCCCGATCCCCCTTGCTTGCGGAGTCTGACGCTCACACAACTTCCAAAGGCAAAGCAAACCCAAACCACTTGCATCCAGCCGTTTGTTTGATGTATGCTTTCGCAGTGTCCAATTCAAGCTGAAGGTCACCAAGAAAGAACAAGAAAGAGAACCTTGACAAAAACTCTTGCAGTGCAAATGGCATACTTAGTGTGTCCCCAGCACGAGGTGATTTCTTTGCCTTTGCTCCACATACAATCAGCTTTTGCATGATCGGCAGTGTAGCAGCATCCAGCCCACCACTCAGGTTGTTGGTTGGACCAAGAATGCATGTTGCAGTTCGGGATTCTGGTATTCTCACTCAAGTCCTTCACATGTGCAAAGGACACAGCCATCAAGGCTGGAGAGATCTCAATGCGTTGCAAGCCCTTCTGATGTCGATATTCATTGACCAAATCCAAGAGTTCCATGGAATCTAAGAAAACATCCATGTCATCCTTGGATTTGCTTGAGGAACCTGGAAAAAAGAAAGGGGATTTAAGGGAAAATATCGATAATATAGGAACATAAACCATCACCTTAAGCCAAGCCAGGCATCGGTGTCAATGTCTTGAAATAAGTGAAGTGAGTCAGCATGAGCCTTCACGACCGGCAGCCTTGCCATTTGGATCATCAAAGGGCCCTTGGAAAAGGTTTTTTTCGTCTTGGGCCTTTCACATGACTTGCCAGGCGCCGTTCCCGTGCTTTGCAGGCAAACATCGGCCACTTCGTGGCTTGCAGCAACAAGGTGTGAACATCGTGCTAAGCACAAGAACAGCAAACTCTGTTCCCACACGGCCAACTGCATCAAGATCGAATAAAACGTATGTGACCCGCCAACTGCCCGCATTGTTTGAGCAGTGGAGCCACGCTTGAGCCAAAGGATTTCAAAAACCTTCCACACATGGAGTACTCATGCCACAAGCTCTGTTCCCATCACACCTTCCCGCCCTCACCAGTTCACCAACTACAGCACACATACCAAAACATGAAATGCTTCTCGAGATTCTGCCGAATTCTCTTGTAGTGGTTGGTCCTTCAGCATGTTGGCAATGCTGTTCTGATTTGTATGAAACCAACGACGAAACAAAGAAACCATGTTCTCTTTGATGATGAAAAAAGATATGTTTCGCCTGCGAGCTGCAGGTGACAGGGTAGGTCAAGTATGAAACCCCCGCGTAACAAAGCGGTGCATCTTCCTGAGTGCCGCTCCTCGTGCCATGTTTCATCGCATGAAGCCTGCGCCAACGCTCCTCAGAACCTTAGAGCTTGGCACTTTGACCAATGTGATACACAGCCACGCTTCCATCTGGGCGAAGACCCACATGCGCCGTGGCACAGTTCGGTGTAAAGAAGACAACGCGTCGTCCCTGCATGACATTCTCATTCTCCTGGTCTTCCGCGGGGTCATCTTGGATCCCCAGAAGCGCTTTCAAGAGCAAATCAATCCTGAGTTTCACCGCGTGTTCCGCAAAAGAGAGAAAGAGAGAGAGAGAGAGACTCAAGAATTCTTCTCTTCATGCAGGCATAATACCACAAGTTAGACAAGGAAGAGAAGATTCAAAACACACACATAAATATAATATATATATATATTATATTTCTATATTCTATGTTTTAAAAAAAAAAAACGTAACTGATTAGTGTTTAGTCTTTAAATTGTTATTGTTAGTATTTGCTAGTGTTTCAGCCTTTGGAACCTCTGAGGCTCAAATGTCCATGGATCACCAGCACCACCCAGGCCGCAGACGCACCCGACGCACCCGGCGCACCAAGCTGTCGCAGCCATTGCACCAGACGCGCGCAGCGCTGGCGCGCCGCTGCGTCGCTCTCCCAAGTGCCTTGGTACCAGCCTCGATCACGGGCGCCTGGATTGGTGCACCGTGGTGAACGGCCGAGTTGGGTGGGTAGGGGAGCTGGGGAGTTGGAGCCGTTCCGCCTTTTGGGGTGTTGGGGGAGTTGGATGAAGGGACTGTGAGGGATGCCATCATGCGGTCCGCCAAAACCAGAGAGCCCAATCGATCTGTCCCCTGAAAAAGAAAAACATCCGTGGTCCGCAGCCTTGAAGAGCGCTGGTGTCAAAGTTGGGAAACTCTCTCTCAATCTCCAGCGCACTCATACATTCTCCAGGTCCTTCTCTCCGCCCTTCGCGCTCCAAATACACTCCACCCACCTCATAGAGCTCCGGATGCACCCGCACTTCCCAATCCCCCAACTTCAACTCCGCCGCCGTCTCCAAGGTGCGCCGAAAGGGTGACACGTACACCGTCCCCGTCGCGCTCGGCAGCCGCGCCCTCTGCGCCTCGCCGCGGCCCGTGGCCGTCAGCGGCGGATCGCTGCGCCGCTCGCGCAGCC